ACATACACACACACACACACACACACATATATATATATATATATATATATATATAATCAGAATACATATATACATACATACACACACATACACATACACATACACACACACATATAAATGTATGTGTGTAGACATACTATCTGCACACATACGTACATACACACAAACACACATACATATTTAATGCTCTGGGGACCTTAAGCAAGCATTTATGGAGTGGGGGGGCTGTCACAAAATAAAACGTTTTGGAACGAACCATGCAAAAATAAACAAACTAGCCGTAGCCCCCCCCATCCCCCCAAAAACCATTAAAAGGATCCGCTTTTTCTCCTCCCCCCTTTTCGCCTTGATTTTCGAAGGAACTGCTACGCAAAAAAACCCACCCCAAATTCTCCCTGGGGGGTGGGTGGGTGGGGAAGAGGTCATCCATTTCTCTGCCCGTCTCTCTTTTGATCTTTAAGGGGAGGCAGAGACCCCCTCCCCCCCCAAAAAAAAACCACGAACGAAAGGGGAGGGGGAAGGGGAGAGGACCCCAGAATTCACACCTGCCTCCAGTGGACAAAACAGTGGTTCATAGCAGCTTCCAGCAGCGCCCCCCCTCCATCCCTCCTCGCTTCGCGCGTTCGGTCCATCCCCAGCGCGACCCTAGCCCCACACACTCCCGCTGCCCAATTTGGAGAGGGCGGTTGGGCCCATAAAGCGTGGGGGGGGAAGGGAAATTGGAGGTGCCCCTCCTTCCCTATAGCGGGGGGGGGAGGTAGAGGACGCTGACCCCCCCTCCCCCCCTAGGGCGACCCGCTCCTGGCTCTGTCCTGCTTCGACTCGAGTCCACTCACTAAACGCTGGATGTTCTGGAGCTCGCTGGTGGCTTCTTTGTCCGAGCCGGAGGAAGAGAGGGTGGAAGAGCGGCTGTTGAGCTCCGAACCAGAGGAATCCAACGTGCCCAAGCCGGGGCTGCCCGCTAAAGCTCCGCCTTTGCCTCCTTCCGTGCCACCGCCGACCAGGGAAGGCGGCAGGGCGGTGGTGAGCAAGCTGCCGCTGCTACTGTCCGGCAGAGGCACCGAGAGAGAGTAAGGGCTGTAGCGCAGGCGAGGGCGCACGGCGTTCAGGAATGGCGGGTGCCGGTGCATCGGGGAGGCCGTCGAGGCCGCCGCCGCCGCCGCCATGTAAGTGTAAGGATAGGGGAAGAGGCTGCCGAAGGGGGACATCGCCAGGCTCTGCAAAGGAAGAGCAGACAGACAGTCAGAGACGCGGCCACGGGGGGGGGAGGGGGGGAGAAAGCCCCAAATAGCCCCCCCTCCCCATGCACCAATGCCTGGCAGTGGGTCAACCAGGCTGCCAAGCTAGCAGAAGTTGAGAGTCAATTAGGCTGCCTGACCAGCACAGGCAAGGGGTCAGCCAGGCTGCCAGGACAGCATAAGTAATGGGTCAATTAGGCTGCCAGGTCAGCGCAGGCAGTGAGTCAACCCACCAAGGACTTTCCCCTTCTCCACAACCTCCGAGCCATCCCAGGAGAAGGTGCCCCTGTGGTGCAGACTCTGCCCTGTTGTGCTTTGCTGGTGGAGTAAGGGTCGGGAGGGGGCAAACTTATGAATTAAGTCCAGGAAACAGGGTACTTTCTTTGGCCAAAATAAGCATTGGCATGCACACAAATACACAAAAACTCTTCCATGAGTACCAGGGATGGACAGAAGGAGAGAGAGACACAGAGAGAGAGAGAGAGAGGGAGGGAGGGAGAGATTATACATACACACACATACACACATAACAAGGAACAAATAAACATATTGCATATATTATTATTATTTAAGATTTAATCTTCTGTTTGATTCACAGTCTGGGACTGGTAAAAACTGAACAGTTTAAGTCCTAATGAAGGATTAAGAGTTATTAAGGTAGCATCTGAGTGTAAAAGCAAGCATTGTGGCTTTTTTTTTTATTTTTAGCAAAGTCAGGATATTCAGGTCTAATAAATTCAACATTTCCATGGCAGCCCTTTGAGTATTGCTCCAAGGGCTCCTATTACTATTGGTACATCCGTTGATTTCTTCCTCCATAATCGCTCAACCTCAGCTTGCAAGTAATTTGCATCATCATTATCTCTTTTATTCATTAAACATGAAACTTGGTCAACTGAACATTTAAAAATGTATCACAAGTAACATTGACTGGTGCTAATGGTTGATATAGGATGCTGCCAGCCTCCTAGGGATCAACCAGGTTTCTTCTTAAACTGCGTTATTATGATTATATACTTTATTCATTAAACGTGAAACTCGGCCAACTGAACATTCAAAAACGCATCACAAATACCAGTGACTGGTGCTAATGGTTGATCCGGTTTGCTGCCAGCGTCCTAGGTATCAACCAAGGACCTTCTTAAAATATAAGATGTTCCAAGTAGCGCAGTTTTTTGCACTTCCGCTGGTGTTACTGCAGGAAGCTGCAATTTCTGGATGTGTTTTATAAAATTCCCCAAGTGCCCCAACGACAATGGGTATCGCTGTTACATGTTTCATCTATTACTACTACTACTACTACTACTATTATACTACTACTACTACTACCACCGCCACTACTGTTGTTGTTATTGAGATATTTTGTTTTAATTTTTAAATTTTTATTCTGGTCTCAATAAGAGATCAAATGATTGCTCTAGAACAGTGTTTCTCAACCTTGTCAACTTGAAGATGTCTGGACTTCAACTCCCAGAATTCCCCAGCCAGCGAATGCTGGCTGGGGAATTCTGGGAGTTGAAGTCCAG